ATATATATATATATATATATATATATATATATAAATATATATATATATATATATATATATATATATTCTACATTGGAAGTTTAAATATTTAAAGATCAAAATATAATACGAATATCCCACAGTAAGGCATATCCTAAAATTGGTTCTTTTATTTTACGTTTGATATGGGCAGGTTGCACGTCCTCTTCCTGTTTTTTTGTTATTAGTAATCATGTTCTTGTATGCTCTCTCGAGTGTTTTATATTTATTTTCGACCTGTGTCACTGTAACTGAATATCCTTGTTTCTTCATACTGTCACTTATATTTTTCCACAGTATTTTTTTTTTCCTTACATTTCGTTTTAGTAGAGACTCCTGTGTTTCTTTATATAAATGGAGAAATAACTTTGTGCTTGCATCGTCCCAACTAAATGAACTTTCCTCTTGAACTTGAACATAATTCAGTTCATCATTTCTTTCATTTGTGAACGAAGTCGATTCAGTACTATGAGACAGTGGTATGTAAATTAAATCATTTTCAATTCTACATTCCAAAGTTTCACAATTTAAATCTATATCATTATATGGCACGTGAAACTGCAAGCCACCTACAAATAAATATATTATGTAAACTCATGTATTTATTATATACATTTTTTTTACAATCCCTTTCACCATTTCTTTCATCTATTTTCAATATATATTTGTATATATATAAAGAATATACCCAGATAGCCAAATCTGTAATGCCAAATAATTCCAAACATGTGCTACAAGTTTTGTTGGCAAAAACAGCACAAATTTGAAGCAAAGCTTGGTATTTCAAATGATGTCGACAAATTGCTAACAAATATGCAACAAACTTTGCGTACACAACTATATGGCTATATGGCTATATGTTTGGCTATATTTGGTGCCAATTTGGCATCAAATTGTTTACTGGGTAGCTACGTTCCATGTAAAAAGTAACTTAGTAAGCTTTATACTGTACTTGCAACAGCTTTAAAATACTTATAGAACTGCTTTTTACATTTAACGTAACCTATGTGATATTTGTAACTTTCATAGGATATGTTCCAACGAGCCTTACAAATGTTTTGAAGCACTTTATAGTGCTCACTGGATCATACCCATTCATTTATAGAGATAGACCGGCTTCTACTATGAGAGAATATGGTAACATATATGGTACAAACATAGCCTGCGGAGTAGATATGTTTATCTTTTAAGTAGGAGTAATGGAGATAAAAGCTATACGTCTTATCCCTACTACTCCTACTTAAAAGAAAAACAGATCTACTCTGCAGGCTATGTCTACATCGTATATGTTGCCATGTAATGCTCTCTCCTACAGCAGGAACTGATTTATTTCTATAAGTCTAGGTTATAAATATCAGATTGATTACATTCAATAGAAAAAGTAGTTCCATTAGTACTTTATGCTATGCTGTCAACAGTTTAGGAAATGTTGCAAGATTTTAAATTCAACAATATTTACAGTAAGAGCCAGTCTATCTCTATAAGTCTATAATAATCTTACCTTCAGAAACACAAGTTACATTTCCTTCATCGTTTACTATAATGTTTCCTATTGCATCCCTTAAAATTGTGCCATTTTTTCTGTTTAACTCCATATCTGAAATAAATATGTATTGTAACCCATTTTGTTTCAATAACTACAATCATATCATAATCACTTTAATTATATTGAATTTTACCTTAACAGCAAGTTATTATATCACAATTTGTTTGTAACGTTCTCTAGAGATGTTATATGCTGCTTTATGCTGTTAACGTGTTTCCAGCCTATTATTTATTTGTAGGTCTGTATGCCGCCATATTGCACTACACCGCTGCCCTAGCTCGAGACCTAGGGCAAGTAGTGCAGTGTTCTATTGTACTGAGTACCGCTGCACTGAAGAAAAGAACAGCGATGATGACGTCATAAAGCTGCCAGAATCGTCGAAAAGAACACTTTAGTGTACACTGCTTGCACTAGTGCCGCCAGTGCAGAGGAAAAGAACAGACCTCTAGGGTGCGTTCGGGGAACGCGCTATTAGCATTGATCAGCGCTAACGACTTGACCAATTCGCATTGGTGAATTCGGATTTTAGCCAAACATAATATAGTAGTATAAATAGTCGTACAACATTAAATAGTAGTACAATATGGCGTACGACACACCCTTTAGGTCGTATGTAGTAAAAAATATGAAATTGTCGTACAGATACGACTATAGTCGTATATCTGGCAACACTGCTTGGATATGGTAATGGTGCGATAAGCTTACCAGGAATTGATGGTGCGATTGACTGTACACACATACGATTAACATATACAAGATTCGAAGGTCTTGACGAAATTTATTGTAATAGAAAAGGATATTTTTCGTTAAATGTACAGGTATGTATTTGTACATAATTAATAATAATACGATGTTTAGAATGTAGTGACTTTTTCAGACTGTAATAAATTTCAATATTACTGATTTCTACAAGTGTATTATACACTTGATATTTTATTTTCAGAGAAAAGTTACAATTTTCTCTCAAACTTGTTTTTACATGAAAACATGTAAATTAGCTCAAAGTTAATTAGTTAAACTCTAAGGTAGGCACTACATATCATAAATATTTAAAATAGTTATTAACAATTCGTTATGCTTTCAAGACATTTCATAATGATTTTTGTAAACTGTAGTTGGACCAAGAATGGAATTTCTAGATATTGTACCTGAGTATCCTGGTAGCCAACATGATAGCAGAATCTTCCAAAATTCAAGGATATATGCACAATATATACAAGGTAGATTAAATGGAAAATTGGTTGGAGATTCTGGATATCCTGCTCTTCCATTTGTTTTGACACCTATAGGAAACCCTCAAACAGATGAGGAACTAACGTAACTTTATTTCTTTTGATATTAAATATATATAATTGTGTGAGCATATTGAATCTATAATTATAAAATGTTATTGTGTTATGTTAAATATGTATTAAATATTATTTTAGTTATAACGCCATTCATGGAAGAACCAGGCAAATTGTAGAACGAACATATG